TTCGTATGAATTAGCAGATATCAGATACTGTAAAAATACTTTATTTTTGCTTGGAATTAATTTTCACTATTTTCACTGAAGGAATGATTCAGTGAAAATAAAATCTAGCGACTATAGCTTTTTTCTATATTTTACATTCAACTCGTCAAGAATTAGTACAAATAAATTCCATACAAAACACCCAAAAAGTCTATTCAGCGAAAATTAATTCCAGCTTAAATAAAATATTTCACAGTACAGTATTAATGATTAATTGAAGATTGCAATGTATATGTCATCATCTTCATACTTTCAAAATTATGGATAATGTCATTAGAAAAGAAAAAGTTGGGGTAAATTTATTCAAGGAAAATTTGAATTTAGCATGAACTTAATACTAAAGTTACATTATTTTCTGTTTTCATCATCGTTTGCTTAGAACATGCTAATCACAGAGAAAGTGTTGCAACAACTCTTATGTGCCAACGATACTGAAGCACAACTCTTGATTGCACCAGACGGACAGACAAATGCTACTGTAAGTATTACCGTATCAGTGTAGCAGCTTTAGGCAAACCTTAAAGCAGGCCTCAAATTACTCTTTATGACACGGTACAATGCATTGGTTCGTTCCCGCTCTGCGTTCTTCGCCATGAGTCGTGCTAATCACACAATTTTTCCATGATTGTGTTGTATCACATCCTTAAGGGTGATCTGCAGCGGGCTTAACGCTATTCGTACTGCAATGTTGTCAAACTGCGTGCATGTGTTAAAACTGTGATGCCTACTGCTGGATGTGACCCAGTGATTCATAAAAGATAGTTGCACATATGTAACACAGTGTTTATCATCATGTTGACTTTAAAAAGACGATCACCTAATTATGTACTTGCAGGGTTTGCACTAGTGTCTCGGCAAGACGAGTCCCACAAATTGAAAATTTACCCTGGATAAATTTATTAGAGATTGGACCCCAGCTTGCCTAAAAAACTGGGTCCCTCTTCAATAATTGGAGTCTGGGAAGCAAAATATGGGGTTAACACAATACCTGACTTGTCAGCACTGTGACAGTTTGATGAACTTGGTATGAAATCAACACATATTGGTTTGCATATGTGTACCATGTGTGTTTGGTTTCAATGAAGTATTCTCAAATATCAATTGAAATTTTTTGAATCCTCTAATGCACCACTCAGTTGCTTGAGGACACTACATAATATGTCATTTACACATATAGATATGGCGACTACATTGATCTATGTGAATTAGCTGAAACACAACAATGCATCGATAAAAACTTGTTATTTTGACCAAAAAAACGAGTTTGGTGTCAGACTCGTTAACTATATATTTACCAGAATATATAAATCATGTAAAAACAAGTATGTGTTAATAAAACTGACATTAATACTTATTTCTAGGGGGAATAAGGAAACAATATTATAAATGACTCTGATAACCAAGAAGTCATGATGTGACTTTATGTTAGTAATCTGTTATCTCAAATTGATTCGACAGGGTAATATAATGAAAAATAACAAATAAATTGAAAATTTGTTGTGAATTACTACTCGACAAACTATTTTGGTATGTGGTATGTTTTACCATATATGGGAAATATAGTACTTGCATCTCTATTGACGATGCGCTACAAATATAGCAAATATGGTACATGCATCTCTATTGGGGAAGTACTTCTAATATGGCAAATACAGTATATTTCTTGTATTTTACTAGGATATGATAAAAGAAATTCTGTGTAAAAGTGGATCTTCAGTTCTTGCAAATATAACACAGGAGTTACTCCATGATTTGGATGCAGAGAAAATAGCCAAGAAGGTAAGATGAATGAATCACTGATCGAGATAGTGTGTTAGAGAGAACATGATTGGTAAAGCAGACATTTTTAGGGATAACTAGTGTTAAAAAATTAAGAAGAATTATTAATAAAAATCGATTTATTTGGATTTTCAATCCTCAAGTGACGGTGATATGAAAGTGCATGTCCAAGTCCTATAGCAAGGGGTAGATTGAGCAGTAAGAAACAATGTTCTAAAATTTCAGCTTCTCCGTGACATGCACCTTTTCTAATACTAGTACGAGCATGACTATTAGCTCTAGTTTCTGTTCCACATAACCCCCCCCCCCCCCATCTTTGAAGAATTGCGCCAGGGCTCCCTACCCTAGATACTGCTTTAGGGATTCAATACCTGTGCAATAACAGACAACTCGATCATTTGAAATACAGCAGCACATGCACACTGCATAGGTATGGCACAAGTGCATTCTGGTATAATGTGTATAATAATTTGAATGCAACATATTATTATGGTTTTATTTCAGACATAGTCCATATATAAAGAAAAAGATACAAACAAATATGTAATAAAATAAAATTACAAACCATACAGATTTGAAAACCATAGTAAATTCAGTAGACTATCTTTGTCCAATGCTGCACTAAAGCAGACTTCCATCTCACATCACTATTGAGCTAGGTACACACAAGCGTATTACTTGATGTTCGTCGTTGATCGATAAAAGCATAAATTATCTTTCTATATAAACCTGTAAATGTATTTGTATGGTTTTCAACAAACATAGCGCATATAATGTTGTGATGCGTCATAACGTGAATGCATATAAAACTGATGGTGTGCCTTAGAACAGCGTTTCTTTAACTACAGAATTAGTCGTATAAAAGATGCCTAATACTTAGTAATTTGTTTACTTTCTTGACAGTTGAATTTGTCTACAGTGGATATTGTCAGTTCCAGAAAAAATACTGCTGCTCTACTTAAGGGTGTAAGTTTAACTGTACTTTTTATGCGTCATCACCGTGTCTGTATTATCATAGATAATGGTTAAGGTATATGAGGGGAGGATGTCTGTCCTCGCTGTTTTCGTCATTGGTGACTCTGTTGTAAAACTTTTTCACATGGTTACTCAAATGTTTTTTGTCCAATTTCATTCAAACTTGGTTATTATTATTATGACCTCGGCCAAGGTTTGGTTTGTGTTGTGTTGTATACTGTCATGTTGAAAAAGCGACATATTATTTCAGCGAATTGTGGTAAAATGACGTAATAGCGAAATGTTGATTTAGCGAATCTCTCTTGTCTTTGTTGATTTCCTGTTTTCACAATACTTTTCTGTCGCCAGCTAAAACAAATGCACAGTTATCACCTCCATAAAAACAAAGAAAAACTGTCAAGTGTAACAAGGAAGCACTCCAGATTATTACGTTTTCTGTGTTGTTTACAAAGTGTGTGTGTATGGAGAAAAAGACGTTGTTTGCCCGCCATTTTGAATGTATAATGAAGTCATTAGCAACATCTTAAATTAGCGAATTAGTTCTCTCACTAAATTCGCTAAAAATTTCATACAAAACTGTCTCCTTGTTACAAAAACAACAAATTTGTCTCTATTCAACTTCAAATTTGGGAATTTTATCAATAACTTTGAAATGTCAACCAAATTTTTGTTGGTGTATTTAAAGTACAATATTTTAATATATAAGAGACAATTTGGCTGAGACCTTGAAATAAGTGGACAGAATGAAGATCTTTACACTGCTGATAATGAGAACCAGATGTTAGTATGTAACATGCTTTCCAAGATCTGTCAATTAGATAAGAGTATTAAACTGCTATGTTTATTTTCATTATGAGGATAAAGCAAAATATTTGTGTAATTTTCTTGCCTTTTTCATATCTGACTAATAGTTAATCTACTATGTAGCTCCCAAGCGGAGGATGTTTTTTTGCAAATAATTAGAAGCGATGGTTTTGATTAAATTAGCCGAGTGTGCGAAGCTTTTTTTGTAGCTAGAGTGGGTTTTCCATACTTGACACTTATTACTATACTATCATTTCTAATTTTTTTCCATTATTTTGTTCTTTATTGTAGCTGAATAAATTTGCAACATTTGAAAAGAATGTGCGAGACATCAGTGCGTTTGCTTCTCTTCTGCCAAGAGATTCTTGTCCTGGTAATGAAAACGAGACGGATGATTCAAACGAACCTTTCGTCTTCTACAACCAGAGTGGATACTTCTTCCGTAATCAGTCAGCGTATGAATACCAACACGCTGAGGTGAATAACACTGCGGACCCAGATATAGCTTTAGAACCGGACCTAGATGCAGACTTAGACGATAAGACAAAAAAAATGGTTAAGCTATACAAGGTGTGGGGCAACATGCAGTATGTGCTATGTGGGATCAATCGCACAGTTGATGAAAATGCTCTTGATGGCGGTGATTTAAAAGCTGCTGGATTTACATGGTATCAGGAAAGAAACTTACAAGTCATAGTGCATTTATTGTTCAATAACCCAAAGATCCTGTATGCTCCAAATACTACAGATGTCAATGACCTGATACATAAGGTAAGGGTCTTTTCACTTAACAAAGTTTATATTTTATTAGATGTTTTTTTAAACTCAATATGCATATGAATATTTTTTTTAACATGTACATAAACTACAATAGTCTTGAAAAAATCTTATGACTTGGTAGCAAAACTCATGAAATTCACAAAAATATTTTTTTTTGCGAATTTAGTGTACACGTGTAATAATATGCAAAATATGTCACAGTAAGAAGGTAGCAGAATGTTTATTTAATGTGAATATTATTATATCTTTTTAGGCTAGTGATATGCTCAATTTGCTCAGAATATCACTTACTTTGCTCATAGTTGGCTGAATATTTCAGATGAAATAAGAGACCATTTGCGACGGAACACAACTGGTGAATCATACCGATGGCTACGACAGGTTAGTTTGACAGCGCGATCAATAATCATCCTTGGAATTGATGAGTCATCAAAAAAAAAACAAAAAAAAAACAGGCATCAGCTGCATCAATAATGCCATACTTTGGAATGTGTGAGCCACACACTGTCAGATGAATGTTAATACTGGTGAAAACCTCTACAGCCATATCAAAAATCAATGGGGCAATGTATCAATTTGCTTGTTTTGAGTTCTCTTACATGTACTGAGAACAGACCAGTCTCAAATCTGTCAAAGGCAGGCTTTGTTTTATGTCGTTCTTAAGCCATTAAATTCAACATATTTCTTTGAATGTTTTTTTTTTCAAATATATCCTACAAAATGCACATGATTCTAAGGTGTTAAAATTATCATTTGTTTTATGAATATTTTGTGAACTTTCAAAGACAACTTGGATACCTGCATAAAATTGATGGTCACACACAAAAATTAAATGGTACAGTTAAGGTTGGCTACCATTAAACTAATAATCAGAATTTTTTCAATTTTATAAAATAGATTTTTTTCAATTTTAATATGGTTTATTTCATGCTGTTCTACTTTTTGCAAAAAACAAAGTAA